ATGAAAACATAAACCAAATATATGCAATCTACAGGGACCCACTTCAGAACAAAAAAGCTCACATAGGATGAGAATGAAGGGATAGGAAAAAATTTCCATGCAGGTCGAAAAGAAACAAAAGCTGGAGTAACAATATTCATACCTGACAAAATAGACTTCAAACTGAAGGCCATCACAAGAGACAGTAAAGGTCTCTACATAATACTAATGGGATGGATCCCACAAGAGGATATGACCCTAGTAAACATATATGCACCCAATATAGGAGCACCTAAATACAGTAACAAAACTTCTGGAGGACTTTAAGGGAGAGATTGACTGCAATACAGTCATAGTAGGGGATTTTAACTCCAAAGTCACATAGTGGGACTTTATCCGACTGATTTCACTGGATAGATATTCCAGACAAAAATTAATACTTAAATAGTGACCAAATGACACACTGAATCAGATGGATTTAATTGACATTTATAGAACATTTCACCCCAAAGCTCCAGAATATCATTCTTCTCAAGTGCTCATGGGTCACTCACAAAGATAAAACACATGTTAAGACACAAAATAAGTCTACGAATTCAAGAAGATTTAAATCATACCAACCATCTTCTTAGATCACAATGGAATGAATGTAGAAATCAACTACAGTAAAAACACTCAAATACATTCAAGCACATGGAGGCTAATTAGCATGTTGTTAAACAAAGAAAGAAATAAAAATCTTTCTGGAAACAAATGAAAATGAACACACAACAACTCCAAATTTCTGGGACACAGCGAATGCAGTCCTGAGAGGGAAGTTCATAGCATTACAGGCCTAACTAAAAAACAAACAAACAAATAAAAAAACAAGAAAAATTAATAATAAACTACTTAACTCTACAATTAAAGAATTAGAAAGAGAAAAACAAGAAAAGCCTGGGGTAAGTAGAAGGAAGGAAATAATAAAGATTAGAGCAGAAATAAATGACATAGAGACTAAAAAAAAAAAAGGGGGGGGAAATACAAAATATCAATGACCAAGAGCTGGTTCTTTGAAAAGATAAACAAGATTGATGAACCTTTAGCCAGACTCATCAAGAAACAAAAAAAAGAGGACCCAAATAATTAAAATAAAAAACAAAAGGTAAGTGAAATAAGCCAGTCAGAAAAAGACAAATATCACATGACCTCACTCATATGTGGAATCTAACAAACAAAATAAACTTTTGAAGAAAATTGATTTAGAGACATTGAAGCATGGAACTGACTGTAGAATCTTAGAGGGGAAGAGGGGGTGGGTTGGTGGGTGGGAGGCGATCAACCAAAGAACTTGTTTGCATATAGGCGTAATCCATGGACACAGACAATAGGGGAGTGAAGACCTGAGGCAGGGGGCAGGGACGGGCTATAAGCGATCAATGGAAGAAAGAATAGGACATATATGTACTAAACATATGTATTACTTTCAACAATAAATATTAAAAATAAATTAATTAATAAAATAAAATATATACTGCTGGAATTTTTATTAGTTTTACATTGAATTTGTAGAGTAACTTAATTTTGCAAGCATTGATATCTTTAGAGTAATTTGCTCCACCCATATATTTGTTCTCCACTTATACAAGTCTTTCTGAATGTCATTTAAGAAAGTTTTTAAATGTTCTCTCTGTAGGTTTCATGTAATTTTTACAAAGTCAATTCCTTGGTATTTGTTCATTATAATAATGAATGGTTTCTTCTTTGTTTTAATAAAAATGTATAGCTGTTATTAATGGTTTAGGAACAGTTCTGATTTTGTAAATTAACCTGTATTTGGAAACTTTGCTAAACTCTATTAATTCAAAGTTTTTCTGTTGATCTAATGGTTTTCCATGTAGATGATCATCTTTTTTTTTGCACATAATAACATTTTTTGTTTCTTTCCAATCCTTATACCTTTTTAATATAAAATATCATAAACAACAGTTATATTTGCCTTGTTTCTGAATTTAAAGACCATGTCTAAAATTTCTCCAAGTATGATATTTTGCCATTAAGCATATTATCAAGTTTAAAAAATGTTTTACTATTTCTATTTTCTATGGCTTTATCATATATAGATTGTTGAACTTATTGAGATAGTCACATGGGTTTTCTATAGTAGTTCACTAATATGATAAATTAGATTGACGTATTTTCTAATGTTAAACCATTCTGGGGAGTTTATTTATAAGTTAAGCTAGAGTATAACTTTACTTTTTAAAAATTTTTTTCTGACTTTGAAACAATTTTTTATTTTTTTATTTTTTAGATGGAAAGGAAGAAAGAGAGAGAGAAACATGGATGTGAGAGGGAAACATCGATCAACTGCCTTCTGCATGTGCTGCATTCAGGGATCAAACCCACAACCTGTGCATATGCCTCCACCAGGATTGAACAAAGGATCTTTAAGTTCATGAGATTGCTAAACCAACTGAGCTACACCATCCAGGGCTTGAAATTAAGATTTTAATTAAAGATTTTGAAATTAATACTGGCCTCAAAAAAAGTTTACTCATTTAATATTTCTTCTCTTAGAAACATATATAATAGAGAGATTTCTATTCCTTAACAATCCTCTGAGTCTATAGATTTTTTTTGAAAGAAAATTTTCTCAATTAAAACTTGGTGGCTTTCAAAGGTATTGGCTTTTCTATTTTAAAATATTTATGCTGATTTTCTTTCATTCTGTATGTTGCCCTTTCACTCTGTTGTTTCCTCTGTTGTGCAGAAGCTTTTCAGCTTAATAAGAGTCCCACTTGTTTATTTTGCTTGTGTTGACTGTGCTTTTGGTGTCACATCCATGAAATCATTGCCAAACCTATATCATGAAGCTTTTCCTCTATGTGTTCTTCTTGGAGTTTTACAGTTTTAGGTATTGTATTTAAATTTTTAATCTATTTGAATTGACTTTTCTGTATGGTGTACAGTATGGGCCCAATTTCATTCTTTTTCATGTGGATATACTATTTCCCCAACATCATTTGTTCAAGAGATTATCCTTTTCCTATTGTATTTTTCTTGGCACCCTTGTCAAAGGCAATTGAACATATATGTGTGGATTCATTTCTGAACTCTCTATTAGTCCACATGCCTGTCTTATGCAGTGCCATACTGTGTTGATTACTGTAGCTTTGTACGATATTTTGAAATCAGAAAGTAGGATGCCTCCAGCTTTATTCTTTTTTCTCAAGACTGATTTGGCTATTCATGGTCTTTTCTGTTTCATATGAATTGTGGAATTGTATTTTCTATTTCTGTTAAAAATGTTTTGGGGATTTTGATAAAGTTTGCATAAAAAACCTAAGTCTTTAAGGAGCAAGGAAAAGAAGAAAAAAACAGAGTCCAAAGTTAGCAGAAGGAAGAAAGCAACAAAGATTAGAGCATAAATAAAGTAGAAAACAGGAAAATAATAGAGAAAAATCAACAAAACTTAGTTTGTTTTTTTTTTGAAAGTATAAACAGAATTAAGAAACCATTAGCTAGAGTAAGAAAAAGAAATAAATGAAGTTAAATAATGAAGGAAGAGACATTATGACTTATGCCACAGAAATTTTAAAAAATCATATTTACTACTACAAAAATTATATGCCAACAAACTGGATAATGTAGAAGAAGTTGATAAATTCCTTAGAAACAAACAACATATGGAGATTAAATCATGAAAAAGTAGAAAGTCTGGCTATACATCCAAAGAAACCTGAAACACTAAATTAAAAAAATATTTGCATCCTACATTTATTGCAACAGCCAAAAATATGGAAGAAACTCAAGTGCCCATTAGTAGTCAAGTGGTTAAAAAAGTGATGCTACATATATATGTACTAGAGGCCCAGTGCATAAAATTCATGCACTGATAGGGTCCCTAGCAGCTGCCAGTTGGGGCCTCCCTCCCTTCCCCCAGTCAGCCCACCCCTGGTCAAGGGGACAATTTGCATACTACCTTTTATTATATAACATTACTTGGCCAAAAGAAGAATGAAATCTTACCATTTGTGACAGCATGGATGAACCTAGGGGGTGTTATGCTAAGTGAAATAAGTCGGACAAAGAAAGACAAATACCACCTGTTATTATTATAGATGTGGAATCTAATGAACAAAATAAACCGATGAACAAAATAGGAACAGACTCATGGTTGCCAGAGGGGAGAGGGCTTGGGGGATTGGGTGAAAAGGTGAAAGGATTAAGAAATACAAATTTACAAAATTGTCACAGGGATCTAAAATACAGCATAGGGAATGTAAGTCAATGATTTTGTAGTAACTATGTATGGTGGGTACTAGACTGATCAAGGGGATCATTTCTGAAGTTACATAAATGTCTAATCGCTATGCTGTACACCTGAAGCTAATGAAATATTGAATGCCAACTGTGACTGAGAAAGAAAAGAAAATACGCCTCTGTAGCCATATTTATAAAACACAAAGTGGAATTCAAAGTTATTTTTTTCCAACACTTTGAAAATTTAACTCATGGCCTTCTTGCATACAGCACTGCCTTGTGACCTTTAATATCACTTTGATTCTCCTTTGAGTCTCTCTCTTTAAATTTTTAAAGCTTTTAGAATTTTCTTAATTCGATCTTTTGAATTTCCCTATGTCTATAAATTAGCGTTTTGTTATTTATCTTGTTTGGCACTCCATGAATCTTTCAGTCCTTTCAATATGTACATATCATGTTTCTGATTTTCTGGAAAAAAAATTAGTCATAATCTTGGGGTTTGCATCCCTCAGACTTACAGCTCCATGGATCCTTAAATAAAAATCTTTATTTCCCTACATGCCTGCTCAACACAGCAAGCAGCCGCTCCTTCAAATGCTGAGGACTCATGTCTCAGCCCCTGCCCCCATTTTCTTCCTCCTCTCTTTTAAAAATGAAAATGGAAAACGTATATTTTCAACAAAAAGGAACAGCACCTTTGAAAGGTGTTATGGAAATAGGAAAGAATGATTAAGAGGCATTTGGTGTAAACTGGAAATCCCACCTGCCCCTTTCTGCGCGTGTCTGTTGGGTGGGAGGAGTGAAGCGGACCAGAGGTAGGCAGCCTCCGTGGAGGCTGCTGCGCACAGCGCGCTCCGGCGGCGTGAGATCCCCTGGGCTTTCCAGCTGAAGCCGGACACCCTGCTCGGCCAGGAGCGAAGATGGAGAGGCGGGTGAGCGGGCCCGGGCGTGGGAAGGAGGGCGCAGGGTGGGAAATGTGGCCCCGGTGGCCTGGGGCGGCGGCGGGCTGCGTGCGCCAGGCTGCGGCTCGGCTCGCACCATCTGCTCTGGAGGGAGCTAGGTTTTCTGTCGGCGCTTTCTTCTTAGCGCTTAACCTTGCTGAGAGGAGGATGTTCCCTTCCGAAGGGCGGCCTCCAGGCTGCCTGACATTCTGGTCTCTGTTTCAATTCCTTGAAAACAGAATGCTGCCCGGCTTCAGACATGCTTCTCCCCAGATCATTGTCACCGTGGGAGTGGACCTGGGCCGGAAGGCAGGGGTCGGTCCTCTCAGCGGGCTGGCGGGGGAGAGACTCCCTGGATCCGGCTGAAAGGAAGGCTAGAAAACACATTCTATTTTAAGCTGCCCCCAAAGGGGATAGCGGCTGCTGTTTGACTCCTTTTTGACACCCAACAGCTGGGGTGGGGGCTGCAGAATCCAGGGCTCAGGGAGAGCTGGCTTCCTCCTGGGTGCGCTGGGTGGGCTCTTTCGTCTTCCTCTGGGCCTTTGCTCGGGAAGCCATAAAGGATCAGATAAACCAGGGTTAAAACCCTGGGTATCTAGGAGAGACAGACATTTTGTGTGTTCAGGATCTGTTCACATGACACCAAACGAAGGACAAAATGTTCATTTACATGGGGATAATGTATTAAACAATAAAATTACAATGAATAAAAATGAAAATCCATATACAAGTAGTGCCTGAAGGTAATTTCTTTTTCATGTATACTTTATTGGCAAGGCCACGCAGCCAGTTACTTTGATATCTTTCTTAACAAAGAAGAATGGTCTTAACAAAGAACTGATGTTTACCTGTGCCAGATGCTCTTAATCTTTACCTGATCATGCAAATAAAGAAACAGCAGAGAGGTTAATTTTCCAAGTCCATGTGACTGCAGGTGGTGGGATCAGGATTTGGACCTAGGAATTTTCAGGAGAGGAGGTACGAATAGGGGCAGTGTCGCTGCCAGGTGAGCCGATGTCAGGGAAGACGCCAGCCTCAGTGAAACCTGGCCATCTGGGCAAAGGGTAGAAGTGAACTTCATTCCATTATTGTACTCCCTGTATATGATTTGAATGATAAATTGTTTAGATACCTAACATACATTGGCATTTACTGTAGCTTAAGCACTGTATTAAGTGCCTAAAATGCTTACTTCTCAGAGCAACCCAGTGAGGTAACACCATTTGTTTTTCACCCTCAATATTAGCTATTGTGTGTTTTTTTATTATAGTTAATCTTCAATATTATTTTATATTTGTTTAAGGTACACAGCGTAGTGGTTAGATGTGGATATACCTTATGTAGTGATACCCCTGATAATTCTAATATGCACCTGGCACCATATGTAATTATTAGAATATTATTGACTATATTCCCTATGCTGTACTTATGCCCCTGTGACCATTTTGCACCTGCCCATTTGTACTTCCCAATCCTTTCACCCTTTGCACCCAGTCCCCCAAACCCTCTCCCCTCTGGCAAACATCAGTCTGTTCTTGGTATCTGTGAGTCTGTTTCTATTTTGTTCATCGGTTTATTTTATTCTTTAGACTCTACATATAAGTGAAATCACATGATATTTGTCTTTCTTTGTCTGGCTTATTTCACTTAGCTTAACACCCTCTAGGTCCATCCATGTTATTGAAAATGATAAGATTTCATTTTTTATGGCTGAATAATATGTAGATAAGTACCACTACTTTTTTATCCACTGGACTATTGATAAGCTTTTGGGTTGCCTCCGTATTTTGGCTATTACAAATAACGTTGCAATAAACATAGGGGTGCATATATTCCTTTGATTGAGTGTTTTGGGTTTCTTTGGATATATTTCCAAAAGTGCAATCACTGGGTCATAAGACAGTTTTATTTATAATTTTTTTTAACTGAAACTTCATACTTTTTTCTATTGTGGCTGCACCAATCTGCATTTCCACCAACAATTCACGAAGTTTCTTTTTTCTCCACATTCTCCCAATACTTGTTGTATGTTGATTTATTGATGATAACCATTCTGACATGTGTGAGGTGATATATCATTGTGGTTTTGATTATTTTATTATTTTATTTTAATCCTCATCTGAGGACATGCTTAGAAAGAGGAAGGGAGGGGAGGGGAGGGGAGGGGAGAGGAGTGAAGGGGAGAGGCGGGGAGGGGAGGGACACACTGATATAGGAAAAACACAAAGACATCAATTGGTTGCCTTCTGTTTGCTCCCCAACTGGGGATCAAACCCACACCCAGGTGTGTGCCCTGACCTAGAATCGAACTAGCAACCCTTTGGTGCATTTGACAATGCTCAACCAACTGAGCCACTCCAGCTGGGCAAAAAGAAAATGTGTGTGTGTGTGTGTGTGCGTGCGCGCGTGTGCGTGTTTAATTGAATTTAGAGAGCGAGAAAGGGAAAGGGAGAGAGACTCTGACCAATAGGGTATGGAGCCCACAACCTGGGCATGTGCCCTACCCGGGAATAGAACCTGTAACCCTTCAGTGCATGGGATGATTCTCAGCCAATTAAGCCACACTAGCCAAGGCTTCATTGTGGTTTTAATTTGCATTTTTCTGATGTTTAGTGATATTGAGCATCTTTTCATATGTCGCTTGGGCATCTGTATATCCCATTTGGAGAATTTGTCTACTCAGGTCCTCTGCTCATTTTTAAATTGGATTTTTTGGGGAGTTTTTGGTGTTAAGTTGTATGAGTTCTTCTTCTTTTTTTTTAAAGAGCATTTGCGGGAAGATTTTTTAAAATATATTTTTTTAAATCAATATTTTTACAGAGAAGAAGGGAAAGGGATAGAGAGTTAGAAACATCGATGAGAAAAACATCAATTCAGCTGCCTCCTGCACACTCCCTACTGGAGATGTGCTCTCAGACAAGGTACATGCCCTTGACCGGAATCGAAGCTGGGACCCTTCAGTCTGCAGGCCAACGCTCTCTCCACTGAGCAAAACTGGTTAGGGCAGTTGTATGAGTTCTTTATAAATTTTGGATATTAACCCCTCATTGGATATATCATTGGTGAATGTGTTCTCCCATTTAGTAGGTTGTCTTTTCATTTTGTTGATGGTTTCCTTTACAGAAACTTTTTAGCTTGATATAGTCCCATTTGTTTATTTTTTCTTTGTTTCCCTGACCAATGAGGTATATCAGAAAAAAAATATTACTAAGAGCAATGTTAAAGAGTTTACTGCCTATGTTTTCTTTTAGGAGTTTTATGGTTTCAAGTCTTACATTTAAGACTCTAGTCCATTTTTTGTTTATTCTTGCGTCTGGTGTAAGGAGGTGGTCTAATTTCACTTTTGTGCATGTATATATTTAATTTTCCCAGCTCCACTTATTGACTAGACCAGTGGTCGCAAACTGCGGCTCGTGAGCCACATGTGGCTCTTTGGCCCCTTGAGTGTGGCTCTTCCACAAAATACCAACTTTTGCGCATGGGCCACGAAATTTCAATTGCACTGTATGTGCGCGCCCGCACGTGGTATTTTGTGGAAGAGCCACACTCAAGGGGCCAAAGAGCCGCATGTGGCTCGCGGGCCGCAGTTTGCCGACCACTGGACTAGACTGTCTTTACTCCATTATATATTCTTGCCTTCTTTGTCATATATTAATTGGCCATATAGATGTGGGTTTATTTCTGGGCTCTTTATACTGTTCCATTGATCTATGTGTCAAAACATTACTATGCTGTTTTGATTACTATATCCTTGTAGTATAGTTTGATATCAGGTAGCATGATACCTCCAATTTTGTCCTCCTTTCTCAAGATTTCTGTAGCTATTCAGGGTCATTTGTGGTTTCATATAAATTTTTGGATTATTTGTTCTAGTTCTGTTAAATGACACTAGTATTTTGATAGAAATTGTGTTGAATTTATAGATTTATTTGGGTAGTATGAACATTTTAACAGTGTTGATTTTTCCTATCCATGAGAAAGAGATATGCTTCCATTTATTTGTTTCTTTAGTTTCCTTCTTCAATGTCTCAAAATTTTCTGAGTATAGGCCCTTTACTTCCATGGTTAATTTATTCCAAGGTATTTTTTGATGCAATTGTAAATAAGACTATATACTTAATTTCTCTTTCTCATAGTTCATTATTGGAAGAGAAAATGCAACAGGTTTCTGGATACTAATTTTGTATTCTGCTACTGTGCTGAATTCATTTATTAATTCTACTCACATTTGGGTGTAATCTTTAGGGTTCTATCTATATAGTATTGTATCTACAAATAATAACAGTTTTGCTTTTTTCTTTACAATTTAGATGCCTTTTATTTATTTTTCTTGTCTGATTGCTGTGACTAGGTATTCCAATGTTATGTTGAATGAAAGTGGTGAAAGTGGACAACCTTGTCTTGATTCTGACCTTAAGGAAAACACTTTTAGCTTTTCCCCATTGAGTATGATGTTAGCTGTGTGTTGTCATATAGGGCCTTTATTATGTTGAGGTATGTTCCTTTAATTCCCACTTTACTGAGAGTTTTTATCATAAATGGATACTAAATTTTGTCAAATGTTTTTTTTCTGCATGTATTGAAATAATCATATTATTTTTATCCTTCATTTTGTTTGTGTGGTGTTTCACGTTAATTGATTTGTGAATATTGAATGTACCTTGCATCCCAGGAATAAATGCCACTTGATCATAGTGTATGATCTTTTCAAAGTATTGCTGAAATTGGTTTGCTAATATTTTGTTGGAGATTTTTGCATCTAAGTTCTTCAGTGATATTGGCCTATAATTTTCTTTTCTGGGGATGTCTATGTCTGGTTTGGAATCAGGGTCATGCTGGTCTTATAAAATGAGCTTGGAGCCTTCTATTCTCTTAAAATTTCTGAAATAGTTTGAGAAGGATAGGTGTTAATTCTTTGAATGGTTGGTAAAATTCCCCTGTGAAGCAATGCGTTCAAGGACTTTTGTATTTTTGGAGTTTTATTAGTACTG